CCTGGGCGCCGGCCGGGCCCGGTGCCGGGAGCGGCTGTCGGGGGCCGAGGCCGAGATTTGGGCGTCCATTAAAGCGCCGCTGCCTGCGCGTCCGGTGGGGGAAGGAGCCGGGGTTGACAGGGCGGCTCGGTCCAGCAGGGCAGTGACCCCCTGTTGGGGGCCTGGTGGGCTCACAGTTCTCACAGCCACGGCGGGGGAGGCTGTTAAAGCGGTTTATTTTGGCCAAAAAAATGGGGCACTTGAGGAGAGAGACGTTAGAGGGTCGAGTATGAGGGATCCTCACGCCAGAGGGTTTGTACTGGTTTTGGCCATAGATGTATCTAGCCTGGTGTCTTGTTTGTGAGGGTTGCCACTAGAAGATGCTTATTTTGAGAGTGAGATCAGGCCAGGCGTATCAGGATATTCTCTAAATGCTCACCAAGCCCCCAGCAGCGTAGCAGCTTAGGGATTTCTTCAAAGAGGTGGCTTTTATGTGTTTGCTAGCCTTCAGTAGCTTTCTCAAAAAAACAGTATAGGACATGAACTGGATGCAGGCTATGGTAGAGCTGCTGTTTTCCTTTTGTATGCTGAAAGGCATGGGGTTTTTTTTGTTTTCTTCCCCATAATTTCTGTAGGCAGCAGCAGCTTGTTGCTCTATTTGAACTGTATCGAAGTTGGAGGTGTGTAGGCTTCTCTTCTGTGCCTCAAGCCCCAAATTCTGTGAAGGCAGAAGGAATTTCTGTAGGTTGAAGACTGGTGTGTATATATTGATATAGTATCTTTCATCTGTGCCCAGTGGAAGTGTCTTTATTTAAAGTTTGGTTAGGCTGGAATATGAGATCTGAAATTATCTTAGGAATACTGCCTTTACAAATTTTGCAGTCAGCTGTTCCTTATACTAATTCCAAATCTGTTTATCTTTGCAGGAATCATGGATCAAGTAATGCAGTTTGTGGAACCTAGCCGTCAGTTTGTGAAAGATTCCATACGACTTGTTAAGAGGTGCACTAAGCCTGACAGGAAAGGTAAAGCACGTAATAAAGTAGATGCTGATTTCATCTTGTATCTTACCACATATAATTCTGTATGTCACTTTTGTGTTGACGCATTTGTCGTGAATGTTTCTCTAGTTCCCACGTGAAATTTCAACTGGAGTGGTTCTCCAAATTGTAATGAGTTTATGGCCTTGGATATAATAAAATATTGTCATTTTCTGGTTCTTACTTAAGTCAGGTATGTGAGAATGGTACCAAAGCTCACCTTATGAAATCGGCTAAGTAGCTTAAATTAGCAATTTTGAGATGGGCAAGTAATAACTTTCATGTATCAGGTAAACTGTTAGCAGAAGACCTTGTGTGCACTTACAACAGAAAATACAGTAGTCAGGTTTGACAGTCAAGCTGCAGTCAGCTTGAGGAAAGTTCTAGAGAAAACTAAGCTTGCTTTGTGACTTTGAAGGCAACATTTCATCTAAAGAGACTTGAAAGGAGCTAGGATTGCCCTTTGCACTGCTGATGCAGTACTCCAGGACTTCCAGTGACTGCCTGATGGAGATGGGAAGAACTTTGTTACTGGTACAAAAGGGTTTTCTGGCCTTTCTGTGGGGCATTAAAGAGAGGCTACAACCAGAAGCAGCATGCAGAAGGTTGTTCTTAGCCGTAGTAATGGCGCTTTGTTTGCGTGCTCAGGATTAAGTTCACTGACACCTTTAGAGGTCAGTAAAGAACTTTATTTGTGGTCAGACTGGCACAGTTGCTGACTTCCTCAGTCCACTCTATGATTCATGTCCTAAAAAACCTGCGAATTTCCCTTCATGTGCTCTGCTGTTGTGGGGGCCAAGATGTTGTCTTCCCGTGGTAAATATATTTGCAGCTTTTCTATTTTTGATAAATGTATTGAGGATTATTTTCAGGGCTTATAGGAGTATGGAAGAAAGACGTGGAATACACGTTCCATAAATTGTTACAGACTGTGGGTATTTCCAGTTCTGTCTTCCTAATTTAAAAATAATGGAGATCAGCTATGTTTTGTGGAAAGCAGCATTGTTTTTCTCTCACTGTCTTCTCTCTCTTCTGAGAATGAGGCTGAGAAACAAATACTCTGTGTGGTTTGCGCTTACATTTTTTTCCTGTGTTAACATAACCATTTTCTAAAGACAGGTCTTTCCCTTGGTCACTGTAACGAACATCTCCTGTATGCCATACACTTGCTACCTGGACTAAATGTTTTTTATTTTTGCTTTTGCAGAGTTCCAGAAGATTGCCATGGCAACAGCAATAGGCTTTGCAATAATGGGATTTATTGGCTTCTTTGTCAAATTGATCCATATCCCAATCAACAACATTATTGTGTAAGTAAATATGGAATTTCAGTTCCACGAAGTTTTACATTCACTTTTTACCAGTTCAGTTTACAACAAAGGATTTTAGATCCCTAGTGGATTCATGTCATTTTAGTATCAGTGCATTTCACATGTTATTGTAATATGGCATTCATTACTTGGTAAATATTCAAAGAACTTGATTAATAAGCAGATCATTAATTTCAGGTTGATGTCTTAGCATGCTGGAAAATCTTAGTTCCCTAGTTCTTCAGTCTCTTTTCGAGTATCTGCTTCAAAACTGAATGTCAAATATGTTGATGTCATGTCCCTCAGTGTATGTTTATGCATAGAACAGCTACCTTATTTGGATCTCGCATCCTCTTACTGTTTCTAGTTTATAATTTGGGCATCCAGAATACATGCCTAGAGGGTAACACGGAAAACTCTGTGATTGTGTTGGGAGAAGACGATGCACAGAACAAAGTTTCTATTGTTTCACTTATTAAAACAGATAGCTATAATTGAAACCTTTTTCTTTTACATATAACTGCATTCTGTAAAATACCTTTTGGAGTGAATGTTGCAACTTGACAAACTTCAGTGTTAAGTTGATCGGCAGCCATGGAACTGATGTTTTAACAGTCTCTGTTAAAACTTCTCAAGTTCTCCAGAGCTGCTGTATTTGCTTTCCTAAAACTGGATCAGGTAAAATAACTGTGGTGTGACCATGAAGCTCTGCTGACCTATGCCTGCAAGATAGTTACCGTCTAAGCAAGGAGAGGGGTGTCTGACAAAAGAACACAAGCCGTAATTACAGTAGCGTTTGTCCTAACAAGGCAATGTTGGGAGGCTAAACTGGGCTTAAAATGGGATTAAAAACCACTTCATTAGTTGAAACTGTTTACTCTGTTCTCTCAACAGTGGCGGCTGAACACTCATCAGGAACCTTGAGATGCTTGCTCTAAAGACTTCACAACTTTGTAACTTGTTTACTATTAAACAAGCTCAGTTTGGGATTTCAAACATTCTTGCCATTTTTTCTCTTGAATTGTACGTGTTTATTATCTGTCTACATCACAACTTTTTTTTTTTTTTTTCCTTAGCAAAAGTGGCCCTTGTTACATCTTTGAATCGTAATAGAATCATTCAGGTTGGAAGGAACTTTTGAGAGATCCAACCTCCTGGCTCAAAGCTAGGTCCATACTGCATTCAGACCATGTTGTCTAGGGCTGTGTCGAGTCAGGTCTTGAAAACCTCCAGGGATGGAGACTGCACAGGTTCTCTTGGCAACCTGTTCCAATGCTTAATTTTCCTCTTGGTGAGCAGCATTGTTCCAGCAAAGGTAGGAAGCAAGAAAACTATTTTAAACTGTACAAGTGGTGAGTTAAAAGGCTAGCAGCTGGAATTCTTGTCATTAATTTCTAGAATCGCCAGCATTACCCCAAGTTCCTTTCTGTGTTTGGAAGTTCTGTTGCACTGTATTACAATACTTGACTGGGAAGAAAAAAACTTCCCATCAGAATAGGAACTGGCACCTCTGATTCTTATTTTGAATTAAGGAAAAAACAAACTTACTTTGTTACTCAAAGTTTAAGGTTAACTTAGTTTTTCAAAGGTATTAAGCAGTCTTTCAGAGAAACAATAAACTTGTTCAGATTGTTAGATAGAGAATACACCCAAACATCAGTTTTAGATACTGGTGTTGTAAGACAACTGCACACAGAATTATAAAGGCTTCTGCATATATTGACCCTTCTAGTTACTAAATTATTTAGAAACTAAGACTACAAAAACTGGTATATGCTAGCAATGCTTTTCCTCCCCAGACGGAGGTTAACAAACTTGTATTTCACTCCAAAAAGCTTAATGTAAATTTCTAGTAATTTTAGTAATAATTAGATATTACAATGCTACTTTTATTACAGTCTTTAACAGTACTTGATATACTGGGAGATACTGATACTAGTGTTACAGCAAAACTGAAGCTTCTTCAGTGCACCAGCTTGCTTTAAGAGTATAAAGGTTAAGTTATTAGTCTTCTGGGAAATCTTCAGCAACACCTAAATATTTTATGAAGCAGGAGAGGAAAATGAGATTAATTACTCTTACATTATCACCTATTTACAGAGAAGTTGAACTGTGTGCAACTGTGTGTTGTGTTTCCTTGGCAAAAGGAAAAAAAGTAGTTCGGTGCTGGAACTGCACAAAATTTGTGAAAATAGTCTGTACTGACCAAACTAGCAGGAGTAGGTTTTTTTTACATACGTTCTTACCTGTTTGTGATCGTACTGGGTAACAGCACATGTGTCTTCTGAGTGGATAGTGTGTGATGCCAGAATGATGTACCCCATCATTGCTAATCATCTTGATTAGATTTCAACTGACTTTTTTTTCAGACTTGTTTTCCATTCACTACATAAAATCAGTGCATGACAACTTCCTTAGAAACAGTTCTTCCTCCAGTGCAATTCTGCAGTAATTTGAGTTCAGTCAGATAAAAAAGTAGCTGTAGCTCATCTTATTCTTTGATAGCCATTGTCCACAGCAAAGGCTTGTCTGTCTCAATAGTTACAATCCCAGAGTCGTCATAGGTATTTGAAGTACTGACGAGCGTTCCAAACTTCAGCATGTGGTTAGCTATGAGAAATAAGTGAGAGACTTAATGGGATTCTTGAAACAAACACATTTATCAGCATTTATCTGCGGTAAAGACTGCTTCCCTTCCTCAAAGAAGGAATAAAGCAAACAAATCTACCCCAGATAAGCAACACTTAAAATAGCTGTTTTAGATACTAATTAGAAGGCTTGTATAAGACTCTATCAGATGACCTCTTCTGGGTATAAATTAATACTTAATCCCCAAGTTAGCATTTGAGTTTACAGCAGATTATCACAAAAGCGTATCTGTTGAATGTTTCCCAAAGTTTCAGATCTGGAAATCTGTACTTTAGTTGCATCAAAGTAGTGACACTAGAGAAGGTATTTCAACTAACACGAGACAGAGGATCTTACTGTAATTACAAACATTGGTTTTGCTTTGGCTCAGCAGCAAGCCTATAATCTCTTAAAATGTGAACAGTTCTAGAACACAGGCCAGCAATTAAACGTGGTAGCATTTAACAACTTTCCCTTTGAAGTGATAGGGACATGCATCTTTTCTTGTATCGTGTGCGTGGTTAGGTAGGTGTCCATGTGCACTGGAAACCGAGCAATGTTACTCAAACAAATAGCTAATGTCATTTGTAGGAGAGGATAACATCAGCTAGCAGTGCAGCTATAACTATAATTTTGAGTTATCAGCAAAGTTTTGAACAACTGTTCTGTGTTGTTTTAGCTGACGTGTTTTAGAAGTGTTGCACAGACTTCCTACAAGCTGAGACCAAGGGTAAAAGCTGGCCCCAAAACAAAAAAAAAACAAAAGAGGAGTTTAACTCATAGCTGGCATTGCCTGCCTTTTGAAGACACACACACGCACACACATACTTGAATTTTGTAAACAGGTGGACTACTCCATGGACGTTCTAAGCCTAGTCAATCTGTATGACTTTTTGCTTGTACAAATGTTCAGAGTATGAACTCCAAGATTAGCCTTTGTTTTAGTCTCTAAAACAAGCCAAATGACCAATCATCTTAACTAATGTCACATTCAGGGTTACGCTTCCATGAAGGATACGAGCAAAGCTGCAGCTGGGGAGATTTGTTTGGGTACAGCAGCAACCTTATGTGGCCTGTTAGAATTGTCAAATGATGCATTAAAACTGGAGTCCTCTGAATTTGCTATTAAATGGCCCAGCGCAAATGGAGATCCAAAGCAACATGTAGCAATTAAGCTTTATTTTGGGATTTACATGAGATATTTCAATTGTTGAGGTGAACATGGGCTAATAAACTCATGTATTTAATATAATGTATGTTGTCTTGTCCACCAGGTTTTGTAAACTGCATAGTGGGGACTGATCTTGCCATGCTGTGTGGTTTGAAAATGAGGACAGTCTGACAGAAGGCAGGACAGAGAACAGGGTTCGGTGTCTCTTCTGCCAAATTTGCACTTGCAGCTATTTGTTCCTCCTCCCGTTCCAGTTATTAGCCTGAAACAAATGGAGAGGAAAAAAAGGGTGGGGGTCATCTGCTATCAATATTTGCTTGAAATGAGAGAATAATGACTGAATTTCACTACTGCTTTAAAAAAAATCCTTGAAGATTCCTGTCGTTTGAATATTTTGGCATTTTGGAGCATAACTGCAATGCAGTGCTGAATTTCACCAAGGGGGGGGAAAAAAAAAGTCGTCCGTACTAGATCAATCATGTGCTGAAAATAAAGGTGCTAGATTCTATCAGGATGATTTTGGACACATAGTGGCACTAGACAGGTTTCTGGACAAAGGCCAGGGCAAATGAGTTTTGGCTTTTACCCCTTGGGAAGGAACAGCAGAGGCTGGCATGGCTATCCCTCGCTAGAAGCTGATGCACTAGACTGAGTCAGGGAGAATCTGGATTTCACAGTTCACGGGTAAGTCATTTAAGGAAGATAGGGCAGCCCATGGGAAGAGGTCCCTGTGTTAAAATACTCCCAAAATACTAATGTATTAACTAAGTTTTATGCTCAAGTTGCAAATATGTTTCAATTAATTTTGAAGTAGTTAATAACCTTAAATGGTATAAAATATTTGTTGACACACACAAAATACCTGGTTTTGAGTGCTGTATGCTGAAGCTGTAGGGGAAAATATTCCAGAACTCTGGATTAAATCCTACTCTCTTTCTGTGTAAACCCACTCATTTAGTATCATCTATTGCTTCTTGCTCAAGGCACTCAGAATAATTCTTACTGTTTCAACTTTGGATATGAAATAAGGACTCTGTCAGAAGGCAAGACTTAAGAACAACATGGCAGCTTAATGAAACAAAATCTGAAGTAGTGTGTCGTCAGGCATGGAATTAAGTCAAAATCTTGCAGGTTTTTTAAAGTGAAAAGTTCTTGCCCACTAGGTGGAGCCTTTTATCTTTCTGCCAGATTTTGTTCTGTGCACGGATCAGTGTTTGAAACGCTGAAGTGAAAAATGCAAAACCTATAAAACAGTATTGTTGATTCACATGACTCCAATGGACAAATTCAAATTATTTGCTTTCACAACCAGCCACCGTTTCAGCTAGTGTAATTAAAAAGGCATGCTTTCAATTCAATCAATGGACAGTAATTAATGTGGAAAAGTAGGTTTAAGCGGGTAACAGAAATAGACAGACATATATACCTACTACATCTAGGAAAACTTCTTACTGCATCATGCAGTGGGACATGAAGATCACAACGTCAAAGAAGTAGGAAGCTCTATCAATTCATACCTGATCCATTCCTTTTTTTTTAATGGCTTTCAGTCTGATTTGTTAAGTCCTAGCTTACCCCTTGGAAAATTACCTAAACCTATTCTTGCTGTTCAGATCATTTTTCTGCGAAATGCAGTCCGATGAAAGTGACCTTTTTTACTGTCCAGTCATTAATGGTTATAATTTTGATGGGTTTTGATAGTTTTAATAAAGGATTTCAGATTATGATACATTTTTATTCTAATATGGAAAAGTCCACTATTTTCAGAATAAAATTTTATTTTGCAGCAGTAGAATTGCTCTTTCTGACAAAAATCATTTCCTTTTTCGTGAGAAACTTTCAGTCGGTTTGGATAAAAACAGAAGTGATTCTTTGAAAATGACAACCTCTCCCTACTTCAATAGTGTTCCAATAGACTTTTTTTTTTTTAAACCTAAAATTTTGCTTAGTGCTTTGGTTTGGACCTGTGTTTACTACTGATAATACACTGTTCATGAAAAAAAGTATTCTACCCAGCTCTTCCACTGTAGCTGCGCTTTTTGTTACTCTCTATCTGTAAAGTCAGCATGTCTTAGTGGTGCTGATTCTAGGTGGCCATGCCTCCAAGGAAAGCAGCAGGGGTTACCGGTGGGTTTTTAACTATGTAAGTCTGAAAATGTAACTAAAAAATAGTTCTGTGGTCTTTTGAAGTCTTGACAACTCTGGATTTCAGGACTAAAAGCAAATGCTACTTCTGCGTTTTTGAAGAAAAAACTTATACGGAGACAACTTATTATATAGCCTATGTTCTTATCAGTAATATAACATTCTCATTTCCGTCTGATTAATTGCAACATATCACTAATTTAGACCTAAATATGATCATGGACAGGGCTTATTTTGATGTGGTAGTGGAGGAACATATTTGATTTCATAGAGCAGGTGGTTGAATCCATCAAGATTTCAGAACGCTGGAAATATATTTCTTCTCTAAATTAAGGGCTAGTAGATGAGCGTCCGAAAGGAGCATAATCCAAAGATCATTATATTTACACATATATTTCTTAGATATTCCTTTTGTTGACCAAACTATATGTCAAAGGAGATCTCATTAACCATGAGACTGCCCACTTCCACTATTTTATTGCTAATCTCTTGATGCTTTTTTTTTTAAAAATATATAACATTCTGAAGATGATGTATAAAAATGTGACTCTCAGAGGTAAGATTTTGAAAGCTGGTAATTCTCATGGTTGCCAGAACAAAGTTTGGAAATATGAACCAAATGTACCATATAGGTAACCAAGCTATGTATTAAAACAACCAAAACCACCACCACCACCACCAACAAACCCTGAAAATGTATTTTTAAAGCTCTTATCTTATTTATACATCTGCCATGCTTGAGAGTTTTATATTCTAGTTGGCAATGCTGAAAATTAGATCTAAGCTTTGCTGCCATATGACTTGTTTTCTCTTATGCCACAGTCTTGCAGACTGGAAACAGTAAATAGCACGGACTCTGTTTTTATTTAATTAAAACATTGGGCCTCAGTGTGTTAGGTGCTTGAAAAACACTAACTTTCAATGTCAGATTACTCTTCTTAATAACTGTATTCATATATTTATGTTCCAGTAGACTTATAAACATTGTTGCTATGACTTCATTGTACTATTTAAGAAGATATTTAAATACAAAGCTTAGTCCAGTGGAAAAGAGCTCACGTTAAGATCTAACATACACCTCAGGAGGTGTGCTTAAGGAGGACTTGAGAAAGGCCCAGGCCTTGTGCTGACCTACACAGAGGAGAAATTTCATTTTATACGTGTCCTGTATAGCAAGAGGAAACCATGACATTGACTTGAAATAGTTAATTGAAAAATCGGACCCTTACATTAGTTCCTACATCTGTACCACCCCCCCCCCCAAAAAAAAAAAAAAAAGTACAACCTAGACTGTGCAGATGCTTTAAACTGCAGTATCTAGTGGTCGTGGTGGAAGAGGAATTTACCAGGACAAGTCTTTCCTTACCGAGGAGTAGATGCAGTGAAGAAAGTGAATTTGGTGTGGGAATGGTGTAAGAACATTCATACCTGATGTCTTTATTCAAAGACATTTAGGTGTTTACTTAGAAGTTTCACAAAATGAAATGCTTTTGGAAACCTCTTGAATTCAGTATAATAGCACGAGGGTCCTCACTTACTTACTTAATGGAATATCACCAACAGTTCAGGGTCTTACTGTGACCATAAGTAAGTGTTAAGAGAACAAAACCTCCTCACCATAAGCAACAAAGGGGTATTGTGAGTTCTATGCTGTTTCCTTTTCCCA